GTCCGGCAACCGCGGCCAAGGTGTCGTCGTTGGCTTTTTAGACTCCGGGGCCATTGCGACCCACGAGGCAATCAAGGCCAACTACCGATCCACGAAAGGTTGGTTCGACCCCCATAGAAACTTGGCCACACCGGACGACGACATCGGCCACGGCACGCACGTCGTCGGAACGGCAGTCGGTGCGAACGGGATCGGGGTTGCGCCGGACGCCCAATGGATCGCTTGCCGCGCGTGCAAATCGGAAGCATGTCCAGAGGATGCAAGGTCAGCGTGCGCGCAGTTCATGCTCTGTCCCACGGATGCTGATGGCACCAACCCCGAGTGCGATTTGGCGCCCCATGTGATCAGCAACAGTTGGACCCACGGCGTCTGGTCAAATGAATTCCAGGCCAGCGTCGACGCGTGGCGCGCCGCCGGCATTGTCCCGATCTTTGCCGTCGGGAATCGCGGGCCCAACTGCGGGACAGTCGCCTCGCCTTCCGACTACAAGAACGTGATCGCGGTCGGGGCCGTAGAGAGCGACGACAAACTGTGTAGCGGTAGCGCTCGCGGGGCGGGTCATGATGGCGTGCGCAAGCCCGACGTGACGGCTCCGGGCAAGGATATCCGGTCTGCGTGGAACTCAGGTATCCCGGCGTACTTCACCGCCACGGGCACGTCCATTGCAACTCCTCACGTCACGGGGACCATCGCGCTCTACTTGAGCAAAAACAAGGGCGCGACGTACGACAATGTGTACAGCGCCATCACCTACATGTCCGCCGATACGAGTGGGTTGACGCCCGAGAAGAAAAACTGCGGCGGCCTCTTGGACACTGGGTACCCCAACAACAGCTATGGCTGGGGTCGCATCAATGCGGCGCGCGCGCTTGGTGTCGCCAACAACGACCCATCCAACCACTCGTAAACAAGTTCCCCGCGCCTTCACCAACGAGGGTGAGATTGCTGTGTTGGAACAAAACCTCGCCGAGCTCTGTGGCAACCAGGGGGCCGTGTCCACGTCAAGTTGCATGCTTCGATAACAATGGTCATCTTCTTTTATGCGCAAGTTGCTACCTCCAGCACTACATTACGTCAAAGACCCTTTTGGTCCCTTGACAACGTCCTCGATTCACACACACTTGTCAGTGGACGTGCTCTCCCTTTCTCGCCCACGAGTAGTAGCTCCGACGCAAGCCCTACCTTCTACAATTCACAGTGGAGAGCACCA